ACATCAAGTTGTAGAATTTTTATACGAAGCAAATATTGTTAAAAACGAGTGTAGGTATTACAGACAGCTTTAGGATCACCTTAAAGACAGAGGTCTTCACCCGTACTCCTGTCAATCCTTAACCTGCATTTTTCTGTTTTTTGTTTCTTTTCGATGTTTCTTGTCTCAAGTGCCATTTTTAAGTTTTACATTCATGTTCAGAGAACGAAAATACCTAGGAATAGGATATTTTTATTCATTACATAGGTGGGTTTTCCGAAGATTTATCAAAAATATTAAAATAAAGTAATCTAAAAAATAATAGTTTATAAAATATCCTGTATATAATTTTTAAAAGTTTTAACGTAAAATATGAAACACATGAAATAAATATCTTTGATTTTACTTCTATGCACGAAATAATAAAACGAATCAATTGATATAAAAGTTATACATAACTGCATTTTGAAAAACACCAAATATATATTCTACATATAGCATTAATTTAATTTTTTTCTGTACATAATTGCATTATAAAAAGTATGTAATATACATTCTATAACATTAATTTAAATTTTTCTGCAGATATAAAATATTCTTTGAAAAAAATTATTTATTTTAAACTTTGTAGAATATTTTTAATAGGGCAGATTTATTTATTTGATATGTATATATTTACCAAATTATTTTTTTATTTAAACAATTACATATTTTTTAAAGTAAATATTTATGAAAAAAGAAATAGTTTTTAATAATTTTGTAATCGATACAATAAATAAAAATCTCGAGTTGTTGTAAATAAGAATAAAATATGTCATTGATTAACATTCTTTCTGTAAAGAAAAATTATTTAGAAATATTGTTAAATTATTTTGTCTTATATTAAGGCTCTGGTACCTGCGCGGCCATATTGAATCTCTCTCTCTCTATCGAGGCGAGAAATTAACCTATTTTATGTTGCGGTTATGTTTTATTTTCCGAAATAAAAAGACATTTCAATAAAAAATCACTATAGATCGTTTCAGCACACTTCTAAAATTGACCGGATACTATCCTTTTCCCTCGACAATAAACAAACAGCCATAAAACGAAGCCTAAACATGCGGAAAAACAAGCCGTTTTCGACTATCGAAAGGAGTGGAGAATGTTCCTTCCGCATGTGTATTTCTTGCAAATCTTACCATACGGTCATTTTACGAGTTTCACGAATACGTTAAACGTTATAGCACAAGTACAGAGCGAATAATAAAGAAATTTAACGCAACGCAAAATAGGTTGTCAACATGTCACAAGACAGAATTCTCCATTGGAGAGAGTGAGAGGAGAGGTTCTTATTTCTGCCGCGACGGTACGGCGCCACCGTGACCGCCCAGGAGCCTTAAAAACAAATACTTTTTAGACTCATGAGTTTTTTTTCCTATGTGTTTTGACACATTTTGACCATTTCATATCTTTAAAAATTGACAGCAATTTTTAAGTTTATGTTTAACATAACTCACCTTGCAACGTCGCCGTTTTCAAAAAACCTAGCGAACTTTCGAAGCTTATTTGTTGTAACGGCGAGGCTGAATCCTCCATTCCTTTTCGACTAAGTGGTTTGAACGTGCCATCAAAGGTCATGTAATCCGCGATTAAGGACAGATGTCTAGAGTCAACAGTGATACCATACATCTTGAAGACATCCCGAACTTCTTTTACAATGACTCTATTTGCAGCTTCGATTCCATACGTTTGAGAAATATTATAAATGTCATTAGAATATAATCTGTTTAAATCAAGTATGTTATCATACTTAAACATTTCCTGTAATGAAAGAAATATGAAATATATTAGAAAAAGGTAGAGTAAAATATCCCACTTACAATTAGACAGATTGCTTATGATTTGTATTTATATTTATTTACCACTATATTTAAACCATCTGTTTTGAGAATTGTTTCGCCTTTGCTGTTTTGAAATGTAAAGGCTTTCTTGATGCATGGTGTTTCCCACAAAACAGTTTTGCTTGCAGCATTCTTGATTATCGTTGGCAAATCCAATCTGATCGTTTTAAGCGGTAACTGAAAAGGATCAATATATGTCATTTGTTATAGTCTGTTGATGCATTCTGAAATATAAACTGATAGTAAAAAAAATATGATTCACATTATGTAAGATATTATGATTCACGTTATATAAGATTTTCCGTAAAGTATTTCAGAATGTACCATATAAAGGATGTTAAAGAAGAAAGGTTCTAAACTTTGATTTTAACTGCATCCATAACTAAAGAGTTAAAGGCGTATAATATTCACTGACAATAAAAGTAAAAAATACTTAATCAACGTAGGTAAAAAAATCAATCTTATTAAAGATAAAAATGTTTTCCAGTTTCGACAATATAAGTAATTTTTGCACCCAAATTAAGTCATTGTTATTAATTACATATTGTATATTATTGTTCTATAATTTCTATATTTATTAACATTTGAGGACATTATGTGCATAGATTTACTTAATAATTTTTTGAAAAATTAAAAAACCAAAAAATATTAAATGGAAGAAGGAGATTAAGTAGCTTATTGTGACAATATTTCTAAAAAATGAAAATATTAATTAAGAAAACGCTTTTGTATTTCCGATGGAATTGCCATTTTATAACAATTTAAAACAATTCAAAGTCGTTATCAAATAGTCATTTATGTGATAGTAAAACTTATACTATTTGTTCTTCCAGAATATACAAAAATATTATATTTATTATTAACAAAACATGTATTTTATAGAATAGAAAAATAGAAAAATTTATAACAATTATTTTATTACTTGATATTTTCTAATCCTCCGCTCCATATGAATGACGGAAAGTAACTGTTATAATTATACACGATTATTTATTTATTATAAAAATATTATTAAGTATTCATAAATCTCATTAAAAAGCTCATTTTATTATTTCAAATTTAATATAAACTCTTACTATATTTTATTAATTTTTCCAACATAAACAATCACCTGAAGTGTGTGATTTATACATCCCAACAAGTTTCAACTAGGTGGAATTATAAATGTACAGGTCACTATTATAAACTTTTTTTATTATGCAGGTTGGGTCTCGGAACCTTCGAAAGGTATGAATTCTAGATCAATAACAAAAATTACTATGACGTGTGAGCTTGATTTTTTCAACGCTAGGGTTTAAAAATCACCCCAGGTGACTATTCTCGGATTAAGGTACTCTTTTAGTTTGTTTCCTATATGTATATATATATATATATATATATATATATATATATATATATATATATAT